GTGCTTCCCAAAGATGCCCAAGATGACAAATGTTTTGTCCACAGCCCGAATATATTCAGTTTACTGCCATAAAGGAAAAAGAAACCAGAAAACATTCACATTTAGGAAGCTGGAATCACAGAATTTACAATTTAGTTGACAGCTATTTGATTATTTGATTAATTGTAGCAGCTCTAATTCCATTTTTTTGTGCTCTAATTTCCTTTTGGTTTTTTTTTGTGGAGCAGAATTTTGTTTCTTTTCTCAGATGTATTTGCAGTCTCTCTATTCTCTATATATCTCTCTTTATAAAAGTGAATATAAAGTTAGTTTTCTGATACACTAGTGGCTTTCTAGACGGTCGTAGTAATGCTGAAATTTTCTTTTTAGTTAACTAGTAAGTGAAGTCCATGTCAGAGCTTTTGGAGCTCACTAGTTACCTAGTAACAATTTCAGCACTACTCGTTCAGACCAGAGGGCCACCAGTACATCATAAAGCAAAGCTGTTACAGATCAGCTAAAAAATACCTTGACTGGCCTCCTTGCTTTTCACTGTGTCATACAGCACTGAATACATTTCTAAGTTCTCTCTCCTTCTAGCCATGGTTGTGCTGTTTCCATAGAGGGGCAAAGGTCACACTAGTTAGGACTTAAGTGCTGCTAGTGCAACACCAGCTTCACTAGTAAGGCTTCTGTTTGAACTAGTTGGACAAAGAGTTGGCCAAGAGTTGCTGAAAAAGTGTGAAATGACATCTGTGGCTTTGCACAGATGTCATTTCATTTAAAGAGGACAAAATAGCCAGCAACGACTGATTATTCTGTAGCTATGTGTTGTATTTTAAAAGTCTGTTATATTAAGTCACGTTAAAAATAAGCAGTAACTGCAGTTGTCAGATAAATGTTGTGGACTAGGGAGAACTGTATTTCTATTTGACATGTAGTGGAGTGAAAGGATAAAGCATCAAATACTCAAGTACAGCTACCTTAATATTGTGCTTGCTCACAGTGTTTGCGTAAATGTACTTAGTTACTTTCTACATCTGCTGGTTTTAGCATTTTTTAGTTGGCAGGTTGACTTTAATGAAAGTCTCAGTTTGTTGTTGGAGACGGTGTGTAAGTTTTGTTTAGATTTTATGACCCATTACACACATTCTGTTAGACAGCAAGTGCTTAAAAATTGAAATCCTTAAAGGAACAGGTCATGTTTTGACGTCTGTTCCTGTTCAGATAGTATTCCCTATCCAAAAATGCTCAAGCTCAAATTGGGGGGGTTGGATTGTGAAGGTTGTTAGCATCAGTTTTGCCATCCATTACAGATGGTGTTCTTTGATGGATAACAATTCAAAGTGTCTAAAACCTTTGCACAACATTAGAGCCTGCATGCAGATGCAGAGGCAGAGGAGGCATCCAGGACGACTGTGAGGTCAGCCTGATAGTTGAGATGCCCCTTTTGATGCTGACGAAGCTGATATGGCAGCTGACCCGTGTCTTCCTCCTGTTTCCTGTCTTTTGTTCCCCAGAGGGGCCTTTTCAGTGGTGCGCCGCTGTGTCAAACTCTGCACAGGCCAAGAGTATGCCGCCAAAATCATCAACACCAAAAAGCTCTCGGCCAGAGGTAAGACAATTCTCAGATAGCCTGTAACGTGTGTTTTCAGGAACACGCAGAGGCATCGTTTCATCATCATCATCATCATCATCATGTGTGTGTCCCAGATCTGAAGGCTCGCATTAGCATATTTTAGTGCTTGTTTGATTCCAGTGTGTGAAGCCTTCACGTCTGTTACTCAGAGAGAGGCAGATGATGGCTTCAGTCTGAATCTACAGAACCCATCCGATCAGCAAAAATCAATTATTTCCTCAACAAATGGCAAGAAGAACAGACCTGAACAGGAGAAAATCATCTCTTTACTGCACACTGTTTCTTTAAAGCGCTATTTTAGACATTATGTCGATGTTAGTCCATCTCCTTTTCCTTCTTCTCCCAGTATAATACAGATCAAATAACGTGAAAATGGCTCAGAAAGCATCCATAAATAGCAGCAGTGGTGTTTTTACTGAACAGACACATGGGTGGGACTGTGGCAGCGTCACTCTCACACCACCTTTATTAAAAACACAACATTCAGGACTGTCTGTTCTGTGTGAACCGAAGCCTTCGTCTTTGCTGCTGTCTGCTGTGTGAGAACAGAATCTGTCAGCCATTTTTGTTTGTCTTGACTGACACAGAGCTCAATGTCTGAACTGCAGGGCAGGACTCACTGTCAGGCTGAGAGAAGCCCAAAGCCTGAAAGTCACTTCTCAGCAGGATGCTCGACCCTGTGTCTCCCCTTGTTTCCTTTCCTACCTTGTTTCTTCTCTTGTTTCCTCTGTTATTCCTCTTTTCTTCTCTTGTTTACTTCCCTCCATTGTTCCTTTTTCTGTTATTTCATCTTCTCCTTGACTTATACCAACATGTCTCCTTGTTTCCTCTCCTCTTGTTTCCTCTCCCTTTGCTTCCTTCCTCATTTCCTCTCCTTGTGTCTCCTGTCCTCTTGTTTGCTCTCATCGTGTCTCTTCTCCTCTTGCCTACTCGCTTCTCTAGTAAATAGTGGATAAATGGGCATCTGGGACATAAGTAACCTTCAGGCTGTTTTCATGTGTGAGTGTGTGTGTCAATATGTGCGTGGCTATGTGTGTGTGCGTGTTTATGGAAAACAGACGTGAAGAAGTCTTGTGTGTCCTTGTCGATCTCCTTGAGAACAGTCACCAACTCAAACTATCTGAACTAAATCGAGTTTTTATTATGATGCATTTGAATTTCATCAAGTCATGTGTGGAACAAACACCATCAGCGAAGTCGTCCTGTAATGTTCACCTGTCAGACCACCTCCAGCCCTTGTTCTCTTTCGCATTTGTCTGACTGATGTTGTTGCTGCCTTGTAGATCATCAGAAACTGGAAAGAGAAGCCAGGATCTGCAGATTGCTTAAGCACCCCAACATTGGTGAGACTCTTACATGTTGTTTTTTTGAAATCCTAATGTTCAACTCAACAGTCTCCTAGAAATTAGTTATATACAGTTGAACTGTGACAGAAAATATTTTTAGAGGAAATGTAATTACATCCTGAATATATTTTTTATTGATCTTGCTGTACAGTATCCACTTGTAGGGGTTACAGTATTGATCATCTTTTTATGTTTCTAATTAGACACTTTCAGTTCTTGGTTAGAACATCAATCATAACCACCATCTCTCTAACCTTAATCAAACAGTATGTTGTCTGCTTTGAATTAGTCAAGTAATTTGGTATTGTAAATCATTTTGTAGATTCTCAACCATAACTTTTAGGTTGCTCATAAATCTCGAAGATATTGAAGAAATTTATCTTCCATTTTTTTTCTTTTTATATTATATGGTATTCAAACTGGGGACATCTCAGTAATCTATTCTTGGCCTCTGTTTCGATCCAGTCTGAGTCCTTTAACATTTAGTATACGTCCAATACTGTTTTCCTACATAATACAGACATGACAAAGGCTTTTGTGACACATAATGACCTCCAGCAGAACTCAAGGGTTTAGGACAAGCAGGGAACAATTTGGACACCGGGCCTTTATCCCAGTGTCATATGTAGCTGAGTTGCCTTAACGATTCACATCATGTGTTCATTGACTATCAGCACAGGACAAATGTCAACTGTGCTTAATTTGTCTTATCAATTAATAATGATAATGCTGATTAATATTGACTTTAGAAAGCTAGTAAAAATTTGCATCCCCCGTGTCCTGCCACAAATTGTGACTTTCTTCACAACACCTGAGTGACAGCGGTCAGTAACAAGGCTCAGGTTTAGGTTTGTGCTGATACAGATCAGCTAAAAAATACCTTGACTGGCCTCCTTGCTTTTCACTGTGTCATACAGCGCTGAATACATTTCTAAGTTCTCTCTCCTTCTAGCCATGGTTATGCTGTTTCCATAGAGGTGCAGGACTTTATGTTGCAATAAAAAATGAGGCCACAGTGACAGGAGCAGAAAAAACTAAAATCTGCTTGGAGGTTCAGAGGGTTAACAGTATTACTTAAATATATGCTTTAATCATCATATAAGTGCTTAAATACCTGAGCTGTGCAGGCATCCATGCATTTAAGGGTTAATAAGTTATGTGCATTATAGCAGAAAAGATAATGAAAACATGTGCTGAAGAAGAAAGAGATCTAATTATTGTGATGCCTCTTTTGCAGTTCGTCTCCATGACAGTATCTCTGAGGAAGGTTTCCACTATCTCCTCTTTGACCTGTGAGTTGCTTCCATACCTCACACTTTCCCTCCATTTGTCCTCCCTCTTCTTCTTCTTCTCTTTTCCTGCCATACTGCCATACTTCTTCCCCCCACCCCGCTGCTTCATTTTCCACCCCCTTCCTTCGCTGCATCTGTCTCCTCCCTTGCCTTCCTTTACTCCTCTATATCCGCATCTCTTCACCCCCTCTTCTTCTCTCTTCACCCCCTCCTTGCTTCTGAGGCAATTCCCCCCATTACATAACAGCACACACACCCCCATTCTCTCCCCTCCTCTCCCCTCCCACTTTAGCGCACACACTGATGCAGCTACACTCCCCCGCACTGGAGCCAGTCTCCATGGCAACCCAGTCAGAGTGAATCCTGCAGCCGGGATTTCCCCCTAATGAGGACATCCCCCTCCTGTTGGCGTGTGTGCATGTGTGTGTATGTGTGCTGCTTGAGTAAAAAGAAAATGTATATAATTTCACTTCCATTTCTCTCAGGGTGACAGGAGGGGAGCTGTTTGAGGACATTGTGGCCAGGGAGTACTACAGTGAAGCAGATGCCAGGTAAACCCCGTCAGTAAATCTCATCTATGGCCCTTTTCCCTTTCATCTCCTCCTCTCTTCTTCTTCTTTTTCTTCTTCATCCCCTCCACGTCTCCAGCCTCTGCAGTCCTCCAGCAGCTTGGAGACTTCGGTTCTCCTCATTAGTACACAGACAATTTTGACACTTTTTTTTTTTTTTTGCCATGGCAGGCTCTGATGGTTAATAACTCTGCACAGTTTTTCTGTGAACTGAACTGGAAATCAAGGTCGATGAGCTTTCCCCCGAGTCAGAATTTACAGACAGATGGAAACATACACAAAAAAAATGCACACACGCCCACGCGGTAACCCCCCTCAGGAGGTAGACTTAAATCAATTTGACTGTGGAGGCGGTTTGTGGAGGCGAGAGAGAGAGGGAGAGAGAGGGAGGGAGAGAGAGAGAGAGAGAGGAAAGAAGAAAGAAAAGAAGGGGACGGGAACATTAAAAGGAGGAAGAAAAGATGCAGTCAAGGGAAAGAGAGAGAGGAAAGAAGAAAGAAAAGAAGGGGACGGGAACATTAAAAGGAGGAAGAAAAGATGCAGTCAAGGGAATTATTCGTTCTTATCTCTCGATCCTGCTCTCGTCACTGGCCATTTATTGGCCCACCTGTGATCCTGTTCACAGCAGTAAATTCCCTGTAATCTGGCTTTGACATTAAAAAAAAAAAAAAAAGTGACATGAACTGATTTTGCTATTTTAAATCCTGATGTGACTGATCTTTAGCAATACGTTTTGGTAGGATTGATTCATTGACAATTTTGGGATTTGGTAAATACCGGCTATCACAAGTCTTGTCCTTGAAGACTAAATTAATCCTTTAATTCATGTTTTGGGTCACTATTCCTGTGAATAAATACAAACACAAAAAGCAGGACTTACACTGATCAGCCACAACATAAAAGCCACTGTTAGGTGAAAGGAGTTGACCAATAAAATAAACACGTGTTAGTTAAAAGATTAGATACTGAGGAGCAAATTTTTAGCAAGTGTTTGAAAGATACATTCAGCAACGTGAAATATATTTCTCGAGTTCATGTGCAGTGTAGTATAACAATGCCTAATTTGCAAACTGACTGCAAAAATGTAAATAGTGAAATATTATGGCATGTGGAGCCACCATACCTTTCTGAAATGTTGAACATGTTGTATCCAGTTCCTTTTTTTCATGACTTATGGTATTCGAACTGTGTCACACTGCACAGAAGATATTTCTTCTAGTCGTGGTTGTTCTGTTTCCAGAGAGGTCGAGGACTTTATATTATAGTGAAAAATGAGCACACACTGAGTGAAAATGTGACAGAAGAAAACACACCCAGAAACTGCTTTGAGTTCAGAGGGTTAAATGATAAGGCAGTAGTGGGGCTTAAACAAGCTCATATTTTGCACAAAAGGCATCCTTTCATTCAGTACAAATCTATTTTATTGTACAAGTTGATAAAATCTGTAGAATTAGGAGTAAAATGGATTAAAAATACTCATTTTCTAGTTTGCATTTCTGTAACATTATCTTATCGGTGCATGTATTTGCAAATCATGTCTCTGTTCTGTTAGTTTTATGTCAGATATGTCAATTTATGCATAACTGAAGCACAGAAAGAACATGAAATGATGATAAGATAGGGTTGCACCAGTTGCTTTCTGTATCTGTAGCTAGCTGTAACCTAAATAAAAGCTTTAAAATGAAAACACGCTTTTACTTGAGCTTAAAGCAGTGTTTCTCTTTATTTACTTGAGAAGAAGAAGACTGCATTTGACTGCTTCTCAGCACAGTTTCAGTGTCATACTACACCGATCAGTCACAGCAGTAAAACCACTGACTGGGATATATTATGTAGCAGATGAACAAATTTTGAAGTGAATGTGTTGTACTGCAAGGTGTCCCAGTGGTTAGCACTGTTGCCTCGCAGCAAGAAAGTCACTGGTTCGCATCCCATTGAGGACACCGGGATCTTTGTGTGGAGTTTGCATGTTCTCCCCATGCAGCGTGGGTTCTCTACGGGTTCTCCGGCTTCCTCCCACACAGTCCAAAAACAAGTTGAGGTGATTGGTTATTCTAAATTGTCCGTAGGTGTGAATGTGAGTGTGTTCGGTTGTCTGTCTCTAAGTGTAGCCCTGTGACTGAGTGGCGACCTGTCCAGGGTGTCCACTGCCTTCACCCAAGTCAGCTGGGATAGGTTCCAGCTCCCCCGCCACCCTAGAGAGGATTAAGCGGTGTATAGATAATGGGTGGATGGATGTATTGAATGCAGAAAAAATGGGCAATGTTAGAATCAGAGGAAGGTACAAGTATGCAGTGATTACCATACATGTCCAATGAAGAACAGATAATAAAGCAATGAAAAGGTCATCGAAGGCTGCTCTGTGTGGTCTGATCCCACAAAACAGTTACTGTAGCACAACATTACAAAAATGGTAATGCGCTGTGACAGAAAGGTGTCAGTACACATCGAGCACAGAGACACAAAATGACACTAACAATATTGTCACAATGACACTTACAATACCCACAGACAGACACAAAATAACACACAGGAAATGCAAAGACGAACCAAAGAGACAAAAAGTGACCACAGATCTATGAAGTCAGAGAGGAAGTTACTCATTGTTTTCCAAGTGGTTTTAATGTTATGGCTGATCACTGTACATGCAAATAGTATAAAGTATGCACTCTGTGATACATTCAATTAAATTAAATTCAATTTTATTTGTATAGCGCATATTTACAACAACAGGTCATCTCATAGCGCTTAACAAAGGCAGAAACACCCAACAATCCAAAACATTTGGATTCCCTATAAGCTTCAGCAGTCTGCAAGCAGTTTGCAACAGTGGGAAGAAACCGAAAACCCCCACAGGGGAAAAAAAAACCTCCGTCAGAACCAGGTTTAGGGAGGGACGGCCATTTGCCTCGACCGGTTGGGTGGATGTAGGATGAATTATAAAATTTAGTGTACAGTTAAACAAGTTATTAGACGTTATTGTGCTTTTGTTCCTCCATTTCAAATGGACCAATGAAATATTCCATTATGTGGTTGATGGAGGTAACAGGAGGCATCATGGTGGGGGCAGCAGGATGCAGAAGGTGAGGCCAGCGGCTGTAGTTCAGGAGCTCCAGATCCAGAGACATCCACAGAGAGAGCAGGCGCAGGAGAGCCTCGGGGGGAGTCACAGAGTTAGTCATATGTAATGGTGATAGGCAACTATATAAACATATACACACACACACACACACACACACACACACACACACACACACACACATATGTGTGTGTGTATATATATAGAGGAGAGGAGAGAAGCCCTGTGCATCATGGGAATCCCCTGGAAGTCTAAACCTATAGCAGCATCACTAAGGGACAGCTCAGATGACTCCAAACAACCCTAACTATGAGTCTTATCAAACAGGAACGTTTTTAACCTAATCTTAAAGGTAGAGAGGGTGTCCGCCTCCCGAACCCAAACTGGGAGCTGATTCCATAAGACAGGAGCCTGATAACTGAAGGCTCTGCCTCCCGTTCTGCTTGTAGAAACTCTGGGAACCAATAGTAGACCTGCAGTCTGAAAGCGAAGGGCTCTGTTAGGATAATATGGAACAGTCAGGTCTTTAAGATACGATGGAGCCTGATCATTAAGACATTTATATGTTAGAAGCAGGATTTTAAATTGGATCCTTGATTTTACAGGAAGCCAATGGAGAGAAGCTAATACTGGAGAAATATGATCTCTTTTATTGGTTCTTGTCAAAACTCTGGCTGCAGCATTCTGTATAAGCTGAAGGTTTTTCAGAGAATTATTAGGACATCCTGATAATAAAGAATTACAATAGTCCAGCCTCGAGGTCATAAATGCATGGACTATTTTCTAAGCGTCACTCTGAGACAGGATGCTCCTGATTTTTGCAATATTACGAAGATGAAAGAAATCTGTCCTACATGTTTGTTTTATATGGACATATCCGGATCAAAAGTAACCCCAAGGTTCCTTACAGTGGAACTAGACGCTAAGGCGATATCATCTAAAATAACTATCTGGTCAGATAGTGAGTTTCTGAGGTGTTTAGGGCCAAATACAATAACCTCAGTTTTGTATGAATTTAAATGGAGGAAGTTACAGGTCATCCAGACCTTTATGTCCTTCACACATGCCTGGAGTTTAAGTAACTGATTGATTTCATTAGGGTTCGTAGATAAATATAACTGGGTGTCGTCTGCATAACAATGGAAATGTATGCAAATGTTGCCTAACGGAAGCATGTACAGAGTAAATAATATTAGTCCTAACACAGAACTCCATAAGCAACTCTGGTACGGCTGGAAGAATCATCATTAACATGAACAAACTGGAATCTGTCTGATAAATATGATTTAAACCAGTTCAGTGCAGTCCCTTTAAGTCCAATCGCATGTTCCAGTCTCTGTAATAGAATGCTATGATCAACAGTATCAAATGCCGCACTGAGATCCAATAGAACCAGAACGGACACTAGTCCACTATCTGAAGCTAGAAGAAGATCATTAGTGACCTTCACCAATGCTGTCTCTGTACTATGATGGATTCTAAATCCTGACTGAAACAGTTCAGTCAAACCATTTACATACAGATAATCACATAGTTGGTTTGCCACGACCTTTTCAAGGATTTTTGAGATAAAAGGAAGGTTGGATATTGGTCTGTAATTGGCTAAAACACCTGGATCTAGAGTTGGCTTTTTTAGAAGTGGCTTTATTATAGCAACTTTAAAAGCCTGCGGTACGTAGCTTGCTAACAGGGAGAAGTTGATGATATCTAACACTGTACTGTTCATTAAAGGAAAGATCTCCTTAAACAGTCTAGTGGGAATGGGGTCCAACATACATGTTGCTGGTTTAGAAGAATTAACTATTGATGTGAGCTCTAAGAGGTTCACAGTAGAGAAGCTGTCATACTGCACGTACATACTGCCCTTGCAGTTAGTATACAAGACATTAACCTACTTTATTATTTCATACTCACAAGTTATGATTTGTAAATGTGTGCAGAAAGATGTCCAGCAAACTGCATCTTGAAATTTAATTTCTGATAGTGTATTATTACTAACGTATATACTGTGTGACCACCAGTTACCACTCACCCCTTTTTCACAATTAGCGCTTGAAATTACTTGAAATAGGCACCTCTTTTTACATAATATTTTCTTTAAGCTCTTCTTCTATTTTATATTATTTTTTTAAATGAACCAAAACAATGCTAAAGGGCAAATTCCTACCTGGTTATTACCATTAAAAACAATTAAACAAAATTTAAGTCATGCTCCAAACTATGGATCCACTGGTAAAGTTTTTTTTAGGGCCCATAAGTTTCAGGAACACCACTTAACACCAACAAGTATTTTGACATTTCCAGTGCAACAGGAAAACTGGGCATGCTTGTTTAAGCATCCAGTGTTTATTACAACTTTGACAATATCTGCTACCTCACCTTCCAAACACAACTCCAGCTATGCTCTACACACGTGCTCTGTCTGTACCACAGGAGCGTTCAGTGTTGATTGGCTGACACTCAGGACATGTAACCAATCAGATTGGGCTGTGGGCAAGACATTCCTAAGACCACAAAGTGATTACATTTGACATTTCCTTGTTCACACATTTCTTGTCAACAAGTAGCACCTTTAAACTTTACATATTTGCAGACAATAAATTGGTAATAGTTGGAGAGCTGCATTTGTGTGATACAGACTTGAGTTTTGGTTAATAAGAAGCTATTACTTTCACATGTTAGGAACTTAAAAACATTGACTATCTACATACCTGCAGAAAGGGGTGAAGCGAACCTGCCTTTCATCAGGTAATGCGGTAAAAATGCTGAATTATTTGAGCCAGTTGAAGCAGATTTGAGGGTAGAAGAAGAAATGTTTTGAGCTCTGATGAAAAAAGGCAGGATTTCACTTAAAATGTAAATGACGTTATCCCTCTGCAGTCTTCACCTTTACATTCTGTTATTTTCTGATCTCCCCCTCATCTGCTTTTATTCTCCCTTGTTCTCTTTGCATAAATTATGTGTGTGTGGGTCTATGTGTGTGTGTCAGTCTGTGTGTTTGTGTGTGGGTGTGTGATTTGCTTGGCTTGATTTCCGTCCAACAGTATCTCACTGACAGTTTCCTCTCTGCACTCCATCTGTACACAGATTTGCTCGATCCCTCCCTTCTTTCTCCACCCTGTTGAAATATCAGTTCACCCAAATATATAGCAAAGAAAACAAAAAAAAGAAAAAAAGAAAAAAAAAAACATGTATTTTCACCTGAACCTCTGGTGTTGTGCAGACATATGGACTGTTCTGGTTCTGTGTGTCCAGGTTTTAGGATGCTATATCTGTCTCTCAGGTTTTTGTCTCTGCAACAGTTTGAAAAAGGTCAATTCATTGAAAACTGACAGTGAGTTTGATGGACTATCCAGAGCATACAATAACTCACTTCCGTTCAGAGTATCTATCTCAACAACAGTTTTATGGATTCATTTGAAAATTTGAGCAGACAAGCATGGTTCCCAGAGGATGAATCCTACTGATGCTGGTGGTACAACAGCAATTTGACAGATTGCCATGAAACTACAATAGTTTTCAGAATTTATTTTACTTTTATGAACCACAATAAAATGTTGTGAAACTTATAATCTTTTCCTCTTTGAGGTCAAACATCCTGGGTTTGTCGAGGCTCAGAATGAGCAATGGTACCAGATACCAGATGATCACAAAAAAAGCAACAATATGGCACACAAAGTGGCAAAATATTAATAAGTTTACTCTATATTTGCTCGATATGCTTTGATGGAAGCAAGGCCGTTTTGTGTTCCTTCTTCTTGTTTCTTTTGCTGATTTAGAAAATAATCAGGTGCCGTGTTACTGCCCTCATCGGTGTAGTCAGCAATATGGCCAAGCTGTGCTTTTTAAATAGCTTCATATTCTCATGAGAGAACCACTGTTTTAACCTAGACAGTGGGTCAAAACAAATAAAATACATGCGTTTATGATTTAATTTACTCTGCTTCGTGTGTTCTCAGTTCACCAACATTGTATTATGGCAAAATCTCAGCGACAGATAATTCAAAACTCTGTGCTTAGCAAGCTAGAGATCCTGTATGTCAGGGCATATGTTTTTATTTCCCCCACCTGCTCCTGAAAACAACCTCCTTCCACCAGTTGTTCCATTCTCTTCTCTGTATTACTGTCTATTTGCCCCCTTTCCTTCCCATGTTGCCTCCTTTATCTGCTCCTCACCCTGATGTTTTGTCTCCACAGTCACTGTATCCATCAGATATTAGACAGTGTGTCTTACACCCACCAACATGACATTGTGCACAGGGACCTCAAGGTGTGTGTGCCTCATTGTGTTGCATTGCCCTGCACCCTCTGCACAAGGGCTGCTCTTTACATGCTTGTCTTATATATTGTTATTTTTTTAAAATTATTTTTGCCTGTGATTTAAAAGAAACTTGCCTGTGCCTGTTGTCTGTCTCTCCTTGCCAGTCTGCCTGTCTCCAGGTTTTGCTTTTGGGACTCTTGTTGCACTATTTTAGAAGGTTTGAACTAGAATTGTGATTTCCTGTGGGTCCTAGCAGACATCATGCTCAGAGAAAGAGTGAGTGAGTGAGTGAGTAAGCATGAGAAAGAGTGAAAGAGAGTAGAGGTCAGTGGAGTAACAGCACAGCAGTGTCTACTTCGGGATGCTTGCTGAATCTCTTCCTCAAAGGCGGTGTTGCTGCTGTTTCTGAATAAATTACACAGAAAAAAATGTGCAGGTTAGACACAGTGTCTCTCGCACGGTGCTGAAGCTCACTCCTACACTGCCTGACTAATGTTTGGCACTTTTCTTGAAAACAGAAAATAGCAAACTGCACACCTTCTCCCTGCGTAGTTCACAGACAGCTTCCCTCTTCACACTTTTTGTGTGTGTGTCTGTATGTGCAAATGTGTTGTGAGTGTGCCGAATACATGAGTACATACGTGTGTGAGACTGCAAAGAATGTGATATTGTGAATGTGTGCTGCTGCCTCTGCATGAATGTGACAATTGGGGGCTGAATGTGTTCGAACTAACCTGCTCCCCCTGCTGTTTGCATGCAGTCATTGCATCCAGCAGATCCTGGAGGCAGTGCTTCACTGCCATCAGATGGGGGTGGTACACAGAGACCTCAAGGTGAGTCCCCTGCAGGGCTGTATGTCTGTGTATGTGTCTGTGTCTCTGTGTGTGTTCTGGTTGTTTAGTTGTAAAACCAGCAAAAACAGACATCCCGCACTATATTTAGGTCAGCTGCAGGAGGAGAGAATTTTTAAAAGCGTCTGCACACTGAATTCTGTCTCCCAGATGTGCCTTGATAAGACTACTTTAAAAGGCAAATGGTCAACATGACTAAGAGCAAACATAGAATGCATAAATATCACAGTGGTTATATGCTGGTGTAACTGTATTCTCAGTTGATGTCAAAAATTGACAATGGGTCATGATCAAAATCACATAAATCTAATAATAATATATTAAAAAGGTCATAATAATTACTAATAAATTTAATGTGAAATGTAATGGAAGAAAGCAACAAATGCAAGAAAATCTGTATAATAATAACAATAACAAAAAAGAATTTCCATTAATTTGTTGTATGAAAATTGTTATTTTTATAAAAATTATATATATTGTTTTACATTACTTTATAAATGTAGCATTTTTTTCAAGATTTTTACGCAATTTTAATCAAAGTTAACACATTTTTACATTTTTTTTAAAACAAAGTTGTTGTTGTTTTTTTTTTTACAAATGTGTCTGTTAAAATATATGTTCTAAATATAAATACATTTTATTTATTTATTTACAAAATTGCACAATGTTTGAACAGAATTTACAGTTGTTGTTACAGAACATAGTTTTTTTAAAAAAATTTACTTTATTTATACAAAAATTTTGAACAAAAAAACAAACCACAGATTTGTCATAAATTAATTAACAAAATAATTACTTGACAAGTCAGTATTTCAGCCATTCAATGTGAATGTGTCTGAGTAGTAATTCAGTTGCTTATGTTGTGGATATGATAAAGCTCCTTCGTGTTCTTCGTATTCTGTGTTCCCAACGCTACTATTCAGCAATGAACCAACTTGCATTTTTATCAATTTGTAGCAGAACTGTTGCATCGCTGTAGAAACATTTTTAAGATTTTTTTTTAACTGTAAATAGGAACACCAAGCAAGATGTGAACATCATATTGTTTAGCTGCAGGTTTTTAGCATCTTATTGCCAATGCTTACTTGGTTACATGAGCCGATTATGGATAAATGTAGACAACAGAAGTTTAAAATAGCAAGACAAATAGTATGTAAATTGGTATTTGCAAATCTTTTACATTGCTTTTCCCTGTTAAATAACACATATGCTGCTGATGACACTGTCACAGTTTCTGCTTTAGATCTTGTGGTTCTATAATAGAACCAGCTTTCTGAGTTCTTTTTTGGTGGTAATGTGGAACAGTTCAAATTAGGTTCACATTTCGTGTAAAATTTCTCCAGATGCTGATAATATTTTGATGCTGATCTGTTTTTGAACTTTGCTATTGTGTAGCTAATCTGAAGACTGTGTTGGCCTCCTTTAGTCATGTTTCCTGACGGCGATCCATTCGAGTTGAAACGTCACCTCTGTTCAGTAGTGCAAATGCTTTATATCACTCTTTGTAGCTGTGTAGTTTATGTGACCTTTGCACTAGATTTTAATGGCTGGTAAGTGCAGTAAAAATCTTTCTAAAGCTTGCATGTCTGTGCACGTCTGTGGGCCTGATCTATTAACAGATGCATGTGTGCGTGCAGATGCTGTCACTGAGCTAAAGTCTTGTGCATGAACTTCAACTTGATAACAGCAGCTGGAAATCTAGTTCGTACTGACCCTGTATGGTTGAAGTTTCCGCCTCGCTGCAGGGATGTGGAGGTGTTGTCCAGGGTGCTTAGGTACACCGTGACACCAGCGTTGTGTGTGGTTACAGGTGCAGCTGGCAATTTTACATTTTAAACCAAAAATATTTATTTTCAGCCAATAATTAAGTTGCTCTTGAAGTTTGTAATAAGCATGATACAGTAAATGCAAACCTGAGCTTTGATAAATCCAATATTGTGTCCTACAGATGAAACATTCACTGGTTCAAAGAATGTTTGAATTTAATTTGTGGATATCAAAATTCCAAATAGAAACAATCTCCAAGTGAGTAAATTAATGGCATGTACAAATTACATTAACAAACGAAAATCAAAAGACCTTTAGACCTAATCTCATACTAAATTGGTATTATTATATTTCATCTAATTTTTTATTGCAATTTTTTAATATACATATTTCCTCATAAATATATTTTAACTACATAATTTTAAGCTCACAATTCTGACTTACATCAAAATAATTTATTTATGTTGGAGGTCCTATTTTTTGTTATTGATAACAATACAATGAACGATTGTGATATTTTAAATATGTTACAATATTCTAAAATAAAATAATTACTAAAAGACAATCTCGCAAGTCTCACAATCATGACTTATTATTCAGATTTTTGTGGCCTTAATCCAAAATTTTTTTAACCTTTTATCTCATATTTGTTAACATGTTCCCTCATAAATAAAAGTTATCGTGTTCATTCCCCACTACAAATGTATGTTTTGAATATTTTATTAACTCATACTTATTAATTATACAGAAATAATCCAAAAGTATTTCTAAAACTGTTTTTAAATATTTTTCAAACATGTAAAAAGAATCACATAAAAATGTCCTTGTATCATCTTACAACTAAATTACAGTGTGTTACAGTGGGCTTACTGTGTGTTTTTTAGTCAGTCTAAAATAACAATATCAGCTAGAAACACATATGTAAACTATTTAAAGTCATAGGAAACATGATTCCTAGTTGATGCCGGCCTCAGCTCTCCTGATATCAGTACGGTGGGACTGTTCTGGGAATGCTTAACAGTTTCCTCCAGACCTGTATTAGTCTGTCCACACGGAGGAGGCCAGATGGGGAAGGTCTTAGGTTGTACTGAGATGATTTCCCTTGTGGGGCTTTATTAAGTTACTACTAGAGAAAAGCCACTGAGATGTTTTCTCATTAGTTGTTCATGAAAGACGATTAAAAAAGACGTAGGCTGAAAGTCAGGAGGAGAACGACACCTGATATGTGGAGAAATCACATTTGATTCCCAGCGGGCAGCCATAAATGTCATGTTCTGTAGCAAGGCTTCAAGGGTTTAATAGAGGAAACTGCTTTAAAAGGGAGCATAAGCTTCAGTTGGTTGAGCAGAATAAATCTTCTTTGTAGTGCAGAAAAGACAAAGAAATGAACAAAATCACCTCATGCTTGGGTGGCTGTGGCTCAGGTGGTAGAGCGAGTCGGTTGATGATCCGAAGGTCGGCGGTTCGATTCCGCCCTGTAACCTGTTTCATGGTCGTTGTGTTCTTAGGCAAGACACTTCACCCACCTTGCCTGGTGTGAATGTGTATGAATGTTTAAGGTGGTGGTCGGAGGGGCCGTAGGCGCAGAATGGCAGCCACGCCTCTGTCAGTCTGCCCCAGGGCAGCTGTGGCTACAATCGTAGCTACCACCACCAGAATGAATGTGTGTCAATGAATAATTGAATAATTGACGGTGTAAAGTGTCTTTGAGCGTCAGCAACAGTGAGGAAAACTGTCACCTCATGCTTCACTCAGTTTCTAATCACCAAGCACCAAACTCTAGAAACTCGAATTATTTCATCAAATAATCAGGAAAATAATCTGCAGATTAATCAATAATGATATTATTCGTTCTTGATTGGGCCACACTCTGCCGTACAGAAAATGTAGAAATAAAGTTGTAGAAATCCAAGCTAAAGAAAGCTGTTAAACTTAATTTATATCTGCTTTTGTCTTGATTGAATATATTTATCAATCGTCAATTTTTCTACAATAAATAGAACACAAAAAGTTAAAACAAAGAAGTAAAAAAAAAGATTGATACTAATAAACACAAGCGACACTTGAGTGAAGCTGGACTTGAGGTACAAGTCAACACAGCAACACATTAATGCGCATATACTGATGTTTAGCAGCTAAAATAAAATAAATGTTTTTCATCATCTTATCATTATATGGTTTGACTACGGAAATTCATGTGATCTGGAGAGGAACATAAAAATATCACAGAATTACAGGGTAGCTCAAAATGGTCACTCTTTCCTCCGCGATTTTTAGTTTTAATATGATAATGTTGCTCTAGTATGTAGCTAATCTCACAATTTTCTAATTTTAATTTGATATTTAGAATTTTTTATTTCATTGTGTTGACCCAGTAAGTCAAAATGTTGACTTATTTTGTCAAAATTCGGACTTTTTAATCACATTTATTTTTTTATTTTTTGAATTTATCTCATATTTTATCTTAAAATAATATTTTGACATTTCATATTTATGACTGATATTATATTTGAATATGAATAAATCAAAATACACACTTTAAATCTCAGAATTCTGATTTGTTTGTGATATTTTTGGACCTTACCCAATATCATAGTCAGTATTTTTTGTTTTTGAGTTAATAAGTCAAAATTTGATTTATTATTATTTTTTTAATCTTGGAAGTTTAAGGCTTTATCGCATAAAACATTTTAATTTATTTTTACATATGATTATATAATAAAACACACGTAATTTTTACATTTTTAAATTTTAATGTCATGGTTTTAACTTCGCAAATCAAAATCTTAACTTTGAAAAAGGTGGAATGTTTTTTTTCTCTATCTCTCAAAAGGAAACAGTTTTCAAATTCAAAAATGAACATCATCCCATAGTTGCATGGTGTCTGACCAATAAGTGAGCTCTTACTTTGTACTGGACTCTTAATATGTATTTAACAAACAGATTACACTTAAACATTGAGAGCTGCTTTTGTTATATTTTCCTCTTAATATGTCAGTCCTCCTCTGTCTGAGTTTTTGATCAGCCAGCAGAGGCTGACATGATGAGTGTCCTGCAGCTGGAGCACCACATGCAGATGTTTCTGTTCCACTGTGGTGGAAAGATTAGCGTCTCGTGGCACACATCGATCACTGCCAGCAGTAACTTTTTCTGCATAAGGAGCCACTGTCCTCGGTTTTACTGTGTTTGTCAGATTGCTGTTACATCAGCGTCTGAGCAGCGACACGACTGTTGCAAACAGACAAGCTGTGTTTGGTCGTCCTCAAGTAAACAAATGGCAAAAAATGGCTTCTACACAACTCCCATCTGTCTGTCGCAGCCTCTCAGTGTGTGTGTGTGCATTTGTGTGTGTTAAAATATGTATGAGTGTTGCTATGAATGTGTGAGAGCTGCATCCATAGTTATTCTTCTGATTTTTAAGTTGTTGTATTTCAGCAGTTTCTCCCTTTTCTGTTTTCCTTTTAAACGCATTTAGAAACCAGAACCAAGCCAAGGTAACTTTTTCCTGATGGTCATACAAAGATAAAAACGACTAAAAACAGGTGCACAACACTGGCACAAGGATGCAAAATGACAACAAAGGCAAAAATGGCCACATAGATGTGATTAATGACCAAAAAGAGATAAGAAAGAAGAACCACAATGAAGCAGAAAGCTGACCACAAAGTAACAAAAAATAACTACAGACATACTGAATCACCACAAAGTGCAACAAAAAGAGGCCAAAGACACCACAAATAGGCAAATTAACTGTAAATAAGTGAAAAGTGGCTACAAAAAGACCCAGATTTACCATAAAGAGACAAAAACATAACCACAAAGAGGCTAAAACTACAATAAAGAGACATTTATGTATCACAAATCAACCACAAAGGCAAAAGAGTGACAACATGGCCAAAAAAAGGAATAGGCAGAACAACAGCATCTAGGCCAAAAAAAGTGAACAGTGGCAAAACCTGACCACAGAGAGGCAAAAATGGTCACAGTAATGCAAAGTATATTCTCAAAGACACACAGAATGCCCACAAAGAGGCCAAAAAATGGCCATAAAGGAGCAAAAACTGTTCATAAAAGGGGAAAAAAAAGATCTCAAAGAGGTGGAAAATTACCAGAAATAGATTTTTTTTAAAAAGACACAAAGGGCTGTCCATTCGCTGTACGACCGCAGCAGGAGCATGGTTCGCATTGCTGGTAATAAGTCAGACCTGTTCCCAGTGCGCGTTGGCCTCTGCCAGGGCTGCCCTTTGTCACCGGTTCTGTTCATTATTTTTATGGACAGAATTTCTCGGCACAGCCAGGGGGAGGAAGGGGTTCGGTTTGGGAACCACAGAATTTCATCTCTGCTGTTTGCAGATGATGTTGTTCCGTTGGCTTCATCAATCCAGGACCTTCAGCATGCACTGGGGCGGTTTGCAGCCGAGTGTGGGGCGAGCGGGATGAGGATCAGCACCTCCAAATCCGAGGCCATGGTTCTCGACCGGAAAAAGGTGGCTTGCCCTCTCCGGGTCGGTGGAGACTCCTTGCCTCAAGTGGAGGAGTTCAAGTATCTCAGGGTCTTGTTCACGAGTGAGGGGTGGATGGAGCGTGAGATTGACAGACGGATCGGTGCAGCGTCTGCAGTGTTGCGGTTGCTGTACCGGACCATCGTGGTGAAGAGAGAGCTGAGCAAGGCAGCAAAGCTCTCGATTTCCCGGTCAATCTACGTCCCAACCCTCACCTATGGTCATGAGATCTGGGTAATGACCAAAAGAACGAGATCGCAGATACAAGCGGCCGAAATGAGTTTCCTCCGCAGGGTGACTGGGTGCTCCTTTAGAGATAGGGTGAGGAGCTCAGTCACACGGGAGGAGCTCGGAGTAGAGCTGCTGCTCCTCTACATCGAAAGGAGCCAGTTGAGGTGGCTCGGGCATCTTTTCCGGATGCCTCCCGGACGCCTCCCTGGGGAGGTGTTCCGAGCGCGTCCCACCGGGAGGAGACCTCGGGGAAGACCCAGGACACGCTTGAGGAACTATGTCTCCCAGCTGGCCTGGGAACACCTAGGGGTCCCCCCGGAAGAGCTGGGGGAGGTGTGTGTGGATCGGGAAGTCTGGGCGGCTTTGCTAAGGCTGCTGCCTCCGCGACCCGACTCTGGATAAGTGGGAGAAGATGGATGGAGACTACAAAGAGGCAGTAGATGACCACAAACAGAGAAAAAATTACCACAAAGAGACAAGCATCGGTGATTTTCCTTCAGTGCTTCCTAAAAAGTGTTTTGGGATGGCACCAAAAATTTCTCTATGCAGGAAAAGTGCTGCTAGAGGTGCTAAAGTGCACAGGGCGGGAGGGAAATGTTTTCATCGGCTGGTCTGGTAGGAACAGATCGATTTCCTCAGCACCTCACACTGTTCTCGGACACTGTGACTGAAATGATTAAAGTGATGGAGATGGCTGATGTTAGAGGGCAAATGAAGGTCTGGTGAGTTAACTGAACAGCATTCAGTTCAGACTTACGCTCATTAAAAGCCATACAGAGATGCTCTTTGGTCCTAGTTGGTAGGATTGTCATCAATGTCTTTACATAGATGGGATCATGTTGCTGACTAAATCATCATTAGCTTTCTTCACCAAATAGCTTGTTTTCTTCAAATGTGAAGTTTTGAAGGTAGTAAAAGTCTCGTGGTAACACACACATAACATCACTTCCTAACAATGTGATGTTTGTGTAAATCCTGCAGCCAGAGAACCTGCTGTTGGCCAGCAAGTGTAAGAACGCAGCTGTGAAGCTGGCCGACTTCGGACTGGCTATTGAAGTTCAAGGAGACCAGCAGGCTTGGTTTGGTACGTTACACACTCACAGCACACACATTCCAGTCGACAGCCATCAGTTTTTCCAGCTGAAATGAGAATTTGTCAGCACGATTGCAACAATATGAAACAAGAACTGCATTCCAGATCCCTCTTTAAAGTGTCATTGGCAACATGTGTTTTCCTTGTGTATTATTATGTATATGACATACAATTCTCGAAACTGATGCCATCAATGCATAAGCAGCCTTTTACTGCAGGAGTGGTTCAATCAAGGTGAGTTAGTTTCAACTAGGAAGGATAAATCGTTGAGGTCTTGAAATGAAATATGGGGGAGAAAAGAAGAGTCAATAATCTGTAGTACATTTTTGAAAATGTGCTTACAATGCATGTTTTTAAGTTTTCCACCTTTGAATTATCAGAAAACACATCCAGGCCAGGGTACCAATTCTTTCAATAACTCTGTTTTATAGACATTAACTGTTGTAGTTTTACTGCTCAAACTATGATATATCCCATTGTATTGATGCTCAAAGCTGGTTATAGAGAAAATCGAGCCAAAAACTGAGATTTTGGCTTTAGATTGTGGCACCTGGAGTGAATGTAAAATTCAAATGTACCCAAGTTTGGTTTTCAGCCCTGAAAATTCCACATACCTATCTCTTGTACCTGCTGGAAAATGTACCATCAATTAAAAACCATGAAATCTTCACCCACCTGTGTGTATTTCAAAGGCCTGTAACTCAGAGCATGAAGATAAGGTAATCTTACCTTCATGGCATGAAGGCACCTTATATTCATGCTATGAAGGTAAGATTTTGCATGGCTTTATTAAATATACTGAAGTTCATGTACATAAAAATCCGCTGATTCTGAGGTCAGGTGGGAGGCACTGATTGATTTTTCGTGGAATGAACCTATTTTCATTTTCAGTGTCTATCTCTTTAATTACAGAAACATTGTGCTGTAAGTGATCTGATGTCTAATAGGGAGTGTTAATTTAAGAACAGAGTGACACCTGCATGCACTTGTGTCAGTGATTTTCCATACAGAGACAAAAGTGGTCGCTGCTGGATTTTAAGGCAAAGTGCTCAGACAGACTGAACTAAGTGCTCTAAATTTACACTCTTATTACTTACTTGACTCAGAGCCAGTGTGAAGATCTATTATAAAGAGACTGCAGCAAGCTAAAAGCTCAGCCTGTACATTAAGCTACTTCTCCATAATGCACTCTGTGCAGTGATTGTTACACTGTGTCTGAAGTCACACAACAAAAACTCCCTAAGACATTTCCATCAGCTCACTTTGCAGCAAGAATTTGTATTTACTTCTTTATTTTACTTTTTGTTATCTGGTCATGAATCATCATTTTATTTAAACATAAAAACTTTCAAGACTGCAGTCTGCTTCCTTTGTGAAAAAAATCTTCTATATTAGGATATTCAAGAAGAGTAACATATTTCAAGGCCAAACTTAATTTGGTCAAAATGTGGAAAGCTGATGCACGTGTGTACCACTGCACCAAGACAAACAAAACAACATTTAGACATGTATATGATGGTGATGTTTCAGGATGTAAGAGAGAAAAGCTTTTGACAGTAGTTTCAGATGAAGGACAGACTTCTGGACTTGTGGTTTCTAGTGGTGGTGGGTGATGTAAGCTTTGATTAAGACTCACTGGGCATCTAGGAGGATGAAGGGATGCTTAAGAGGAGGAGGAGGAGGGTCACGCACTAGTGGGTCTAAACAGCAGAGAGACAGAGTTACAATGATAGGATAATACAAACCTTTAGTGTTCGCAAAGTAATTTCAGGCTTTACAACAGCAGCTATGTCAGGATACAAAGAGTCAAATACTTGCCAGGAAACCAACACAACATGGAACAGAAAAGACTGAGAGTTTAAAATACAGGCACAATGCCTATAAAAAATAATCAAACCCCTTAGAAGTTTTCACCTTTTATTGCTTTTTAACGTTGAGTCACATTTATGGACAAGGTTTTACCAAAATAAGACTCTTTAAATGTGTAAAGTGACAACAACGTTTTTTGTTTTTTTTTCTTTTACAAAGTTATGTCCATTAGTTAAAGATATAAAATGAAAAATAAGTGATTGCATAAGTATTCACTCTTTTCAGGTCAGGATTTAGTAGCTGCTCCTTTAGCCACAATTGCAGCATTGAGCCTGTGTAGATAGGTCACAATCAGCCTTGCATATCTGGACACTGCAATTTTACTCCAGTCTTTTTCTTCTTCTTTGCAAAACTGCTCAAGTTTCAGGTTACACTGTGATCATGAGTGAACAGCCTTTTTCAAGTCTCAGTTAAATTGAGGTCTGGGCTCTGACTCGGCCACTTCGGATCATTCACCTCATTGTCTTTAAATCATGTTTGTGTAGCCCTCAATGTATGCTTACTAGAAAGCATAATTTCTGAAGTCACAGTTCTCTTACAGGCTGCATCAGGTTATCCTCCAGGATTTGCCTTTACTTTGCTGCATTAATTTGACACTCTACCTATATGAGCCTTCCACGACCTGCTGCTGAGAAGCAGCCCCACATCATGATGCTGCCACCACTATGCTTTATGGTGGAGGATGGTATGTGTGATGATGTACAGTGTTTGGTTTCCACCAAACATAGTGTATTGTCTGATGGCCAAAAAGGTCAGTTTTGATCTCTTTTTGATGAATTCTATTTCTAGTCAAGATTTTAAAAGATTTCATATTAAAAATTCTGTCTGCACTCATGTGACTCAAATTTCTGCAGCATTTATTGTAGTTTATTTTTGCTGCATCAGATTTTGTAGAGTTGCAGCTGAGAATATTTAAATTAACGTGTTCAATAATCATCTGTGTCACTGATTCATTGTTAATAGGTTATTTATTCTTTAATTCACTCTTTTGTTTTGGTGGAGGCAAAGCCAATGTAACGACTGTGCCAAAAGTAAAATTGTCTGTTTCAGCTGGAGTTTTTCAGACCTCACACTGGGCTGGTGATAAAGAAAGACAGACTTGTTGTGTTTCTAAATTCAGGTGTCTCTTCTATCCTCCTTCTCTCTATTGATCGATGTATTGAGCTATACAGGCCAAGGTTTCTGAGTTTGGGCAAATAGTGTTGTAGCTTTTACTGACTAAATTTGAGGATGATTTTTTGAGTGCAAGTTTCAAAAAATAGCCCAGAGTTAAAATGTTTAAAAACATGCACCTGTGTACACATTATAACCTAGATCCAGTTATAGGTTCATGCCACATTTTTATGGGTTGAATTTATATCCAAATATTTTTTCCAGTCATGTAAATTAGGTTTGATAAAGTACGCACTGAGATGTTTAATTATCTGTTCAGACTTGTGGTAAAAAAGCAACTAGCAGCAGGTCGTTTTCAATCACTTGCTGCATGACACATTAACAATCAAAGGCAAGCCTCCCTAAACTTTTTTCCAATGACATGATGAAGCATCAGACAAACTTTCTTTGTCTCTCTGGCCACAATCTTCTGTTCTGGTCTGTGTAAATAATTGAAAACAAACAAACAAAAAAACCCCCCATGCCCTTAGCCAGCTCCCAGTCCTATTTACCCTGGTCCTTTTTTTTTTACCTTCTTTTGTCCAGAACATCAACAGCGCCAACGAGCGCTTGAGCTACACTTTAGTGGTGACTCAGCGACAATATAGCCGGTCATAATTGGTTGTTTTGTAACTTTGTTGCTCATAATATGTACATAAAATAGTCCTATTATATGTTATATTTTGATTGCATTCATTTGTTTATGTGCCCCTGTAGAAAGTGCGAAAGGCTCTGAAGTGGGAAATGAGGCGAGCCCTGGCAATCTCAACTGGTTAAGAAACGAAATTGTTTGCTACAATTTAAGCTTTAACCCTCTGATTTCCAAGCAGTTTCTGAGCGTCACATTTTTCCTCACTGTGGGCTCGTTTTTCACTAAAATATTAAATCCTACAGCTCTATGGAAACAGAATAATGATGGTGAGAAGTAGAGAGAACCCAGAAATGTTCCCACTTGCTGTGTGACACAGTTATAATACCACAAATCACAAAAAACAAGAGAACAAATGTCTTTGATTATGTATTTTTCCAGAAGTTGTAAAAACGTCCAGCATTTCCCCAAGTGTCCACATGTTTTACCAAATGGCAGCTGTACGTACTATAGATATTTTACTATTTACATTTTTACAACCTCTACAACCTGAGCGATTTTCACTCTACTCTGTACATGAATTCTAGAAAGATGTTTCACCATGCTGAATGTATCTTCCAAAAACTTGTTCCTCTGTATACTGTTTTTGCGCCATGTTGCATTCATTTTATTGATCCAGTGTGTTTTATTTTCCTCTCAGTCTCTCTTGTCATCTCCTCTCTGCTTTTAAGAAACATTGCATGTAGTTCAATTGAAAACTCCCAGAATTTTTGTTAAGCTTAGATTTGGCTAATTTGCCCGACATAACTCCATGTCACATGATTCATTCAAAGAACATTGGAAAGTTGAAAATTTTCATTCATTCATTCATTCATTCATTCATTCATTCATTCATTTATTTATTTAAAGTTAACACACAAAGTGGTGGATTTTGGGGTTTAGAGCATTAAGACGCTATACACAAATCCAATTTCAACATCTTATCGCAGCACCAAAACTCAGTTAGAAAAAATGAGCACAGATTTGTGTTGATTTTTGTTTTTGTCAGTGTCATTACACGACACCTTTTGTTTGAATGTCTGTACCAAAACCAAATATCAATTTTCCAAGCAACAACTTCTCACATTTGAGAAGCTGGATTCACCAAATGCTTGGCATGCACTCTGGAATAGTAAAATGGAATGGATTAATTTCATTTCATAGATTATTTGTTGAATTTGTAACAATTTGCTGCAACAAAGCTTGCAGTGTAGAGTTTGCAGTGTTTAGATTTGATTAAAACACAGAGTGCAGTATTTCAACAACTTTCCAGGTTTTGCCAAAGTGTGTCTGATTAATAATTGGCCTTTAAGAGCATAACATTAAAATTTTAAGTATCTGTTGCACAGTCAGCGTCACTGTCTGTTTAATTACTGTTTTCAATTCAATTCAATTCAATTTTATTTGTATAGCGCATATTTACAACAACAAGTCATCTCATAGGGCTTCACAAAGGCAGAGACAGAAACACCAAACAATCCAAAACATTTGGATTCCCTATAAGCTTCAGCAGTCCGCAAGCAGTCTGCAACAGTGGGAAGGAACCGAAAACCCCCACAGGGGAAAAAAAACCTCAGACAGAACCAGGCTCAGGGAGGGACGGCCATCTGCCTCGACCGGTTGGGTGAATGTAGGAGGAATTATAAAATTTAGTTTACAGTTAAACACTTTGTAAGATGCTTTTTCTATGAAGCTAGGGCCGCTCAACCCTTTGAAACGCCTTTGATGCATCAAAAACAGACTGAGTTATAAAAACTGAGCACTGATTTAAGCTGCTGATTGTGTTTGTTTGCAGGCTTTGCAGGGACTCCCGGCTACTTGTCTCCAGAGGTGCTGAGGAAGGAGGCGTATGGTAAACCTGTAGACATCTGGGCATGTGGTAAGCTCTTTGTTTGTCTCTTTCTCACCGCCGCCTCCTCCTCCCTCTCTTGCTCATCTCTCAGACAAAGGTTGTGTTTTTGTGTGTAGGTGTGATCCTCTACATCCTTTTGGTTGGGTACCCTCCGTTCTGGGACGAGGACCAGCACAAACTCTACCAGCAGATCAAGGCTGGGGCGTACGATGTGAGCCTGTCTCTCCTCACTTTCAATCAGAAATTATGTAGTTACTATCTCTAATGTAAATACTGTACATGTGGATGCATGTGTGTGTGTGCTTTAGTTTCCCTCCCCAGAGTGGGACACAGTGACTCCAGAGGCTAAAAATCTGATCAACCAGATGTTGACTATCAACCCAGCCAAGAGAATCACTGCCCAGGAGGCTCTGAAGCACCCGTGGGTCTGCGTAAGTAGCATATCCACATCCAGCACCCTTTTACTGCACATAGGAAACAATAGTTCATGTCATCCAATTTCCACTATCCAACAATTTAAAAGTCCTTTAACAGCAAGTTTGAGAACATCTTCCCAGAGCTGCCAGACAGCAGCACCATCTGTTTCCAAACATGTAATCTCTGACATGTGCAGATACCAGCTCAGCTTATCATGAATGATTTGTTCCACAGGAGGGCAAAAGAGCAACTTATCTGGGGGATAAACACTCATATCTGCCCTTCATCTACAAAAGTATCAGTTCCAGCAGCCTACCAGAAAACCCAGGATGCTCTGATATAGTTTGTTGCCTGTAAGTGGAAAATATCCCAGGCTTTCAGGCAAAAGTACCTTTTCTTAGCATTCATGATGATGATGAATTTATTTATAAAGCATCTTTCAAAAGAAGAAATGTTTTATCTTGCAACCAAAGCCCTGCTTAATCTTCAGATGTTTCTGCTTTTTAATTTCTTCAAGTTTCCCAAAACAGTGCACATGAAAATGATATTTGAAGGAACTCCACATATCACACGATCTGTAAGTTATTCTGTATATTAGAAAAGCTCGTGCTAAATAACATAAGGGCTAAAATGGTAGGTTTTACATTTGCTTTTAAAGATGTCAATAGTCAGAGCCTAAAAACTAAAAGCTGCCTCATCAGAAGTCTTCATTCTGAAATCTGGAACAATTAAATTACTCACAGTGCCAGAGGACTTGAGTGATTCACAGTCAAGTCAAGCCACCATTATTCATGTAGCACTTCTGAAACATCTCCAGATAAAAGATTGTCATTGCAAATTCACTTGACTGATGTAAATGTAATTGTCAAGATCTTACAAGACTATTGGGAGAAATTCAACGATTTCCATAGTTTGGATTAAACATCACTAAATGAAGAATATCAGTTTTAAAAGTGAAAGTGCAGACTTAAAAATGAACAAAACATATAAAAGCATGTGGTTTCTTGTTCCTCCTGCAACTGCAGAGCTTTTGAAGATGCTGTCGGAAGGAGTTACTCATTAATTTGTGTTAGTGTCTGAGAGCATCTTCAGTTGTTGTGCGTTTGGGAAATATTTCTTGATGAAGAAAATCTGCATCTTCTTAATCTTTAACATGCTTCTGTGAAATTGTTCAAAAACACTACACAAAGTCCTCCAGCTCATTCCAATAAGCAGTCAGCAGTGTAAATGTATTAACTGTAGGTCTTCATATTGTTGCCTGGTCTGGATCTGAAAATGACCAGCCCAAAAAGATCATAGCTTCCGTTTTACATCTCTGCTCCACCACAACTCATCAGGAAAAATCTGTTTTTAAAAAACCGGCAGCTTTGGTTATTTTACATATGATTACTTTCAAAAGACACATGTAAAATATATAAAAAAGTATGAAACACATTTACATTTTATAAAATATATAGTATCATATTCAATCTGCTTTTGCTTAAAAGAAACTAACTCAGTGAAAGTGGAAAATAGAAACATTATATAATAGTTTATTGCATTTTTTTTAATGCTGACATTCTTGTCCTTAAGCTCCTTTGTGTATCTTCTTTGAAACTGACACACAAGGGTTAACATTTCATAGATGCCTGAATAATTTTGAAAGAAGCCAAAAATGTTGGATTGTTTGATTTTTTTACTGTGTTGCATTTAGAACAATCCAATCATTTAAGCGTATTATCCCAGCTAGAAATTTTTGGTTATTAGAATATTCTTAGAATGTTGACTGGAACGTTGTTGCACTGTTTTCAGTGGGAAGTTTTCTTTAAGTTCTGAGAACGTTCTGGGAGAATGTTCCCTAAAAACATTCAAAAAATGTTTTGCAATAATTCTTAAAATGTTAAATGACAACATTTCTAAAATATGATGCATTAATGTTGTTGCAATATTTTCAGTAGGAAGTTTTCTTTAAATTCTCAGAATGTTCTGGGAGAACATTCCCTAAAACCATTCAAAAAGTGTTTTGCAATAACCCTCTTAAAATGTTAAATGACAACATTTGTAATAATAATAATTTATTAGATTTATATAGCTGCAATTCTGCGCCTACGGCCACTCTGACCACCACCTTAAACAATCCATTCATACGCTTTCACACCAGGCAAGGTGGTTGAAGTGTCTTGCCCAAGGACACAATGACCATGACACAGGTTACAGGGCGGAATCAACCCGCTGACCTTCTGATCATTGACCAACCCGCTCTACCAGCTGAGCCATAACCGGCTTCCTTAAAACATGATGCACAAATATTGTTGTGATGTTTTCAGCGGGAAATTTCTTCGAGTTCCCAGAATGTTTTGGAATAATGTTCTCTAAAAACATTCCAAAAATGTTTTGCAATAACCCTCTGAAAACGTTAAATGATAACATTGCAAGAATATGATGCACTGATGTTGTTGCTGTGAAGGTCTTAATGGCAGTGACATCCTCTGAGGCTGCTGTTTTAAAACCTCCCAGTCAGTGTCCATAAAACAGTCTTGAAGTGCTGAGCATAAACCCTCTGGCCAGATCCTGGCTTGTTTTTTTGACTGGCCTGCTGCGCTTCAGTAGAGGTTTGTAAGCAGGCACCAGCATAATAGAAAGATGATCAGAGCAGCTGAGGTCGGGGTGGGGGGTTGCTTTGTATGCATCAGGGAAGTTTGAACACACCAAGTCCAGCATGTTGTCTCCTCTGGTTTTAAAGTCCAGAAATTGCTTGAAGGGTACAGACTTGTACTTTAAGTACAGACTTTAAACTGGTGTGGTTACAATCCCCTGCAACCACTATAAAGCTGTCTGGGTGTTTAGTTAAAAGTTCACTGATGGTGTGGTTGGTTTATTTCCAGTATTTTAGTGAGTATTCTAGAAACTGAGTTTTAGGTTGAAAGTTGTTTAATTGTCCAGAAGAAAACTATTTCCATCCACAACACAATGTTTTTCTTTAGCATTCTTCTATCAAAAACTGAAAAACACAATTTTATTTCTCAGAATTGAAGGAGATTTAATGTAGTCTTTATAACATTCTGAAAACATTTTCCAAATGTTGCAGTACGAATGTTCCTGTGTTATTAACATGTAACATTGTAAGAGTGTTTTAAAAATAACACAATATAGTATGAGGCCTAAATAACAGCATTGAAACATTTTCCAGATATTACTTTGGAAATGTTCTTCATGTGATGTCATTTAAGATTGTGGGAACATTTTATGAAATAACATTCTGTAATAGGGCTGCAAGGTGGCGCAGTTGGTTGGCACTGTTAGCACACGTCCCGGTGAGGACACCCGGGATCTTTCTGCATGGAGTTTGCATGTTCTCCCCGTGCAGTGTGGGTTCTCTCCAGGTTCTCCGGTTTCCTCCCACAAGTCCAAAAACATGTTGAGGGATTAAGTGGTGTATAGATAATGGATGGAGGGACATTCTTTAATCTGTTAACTAAACATTGTCCCCATAATATCCTCCCAATGTTATAGACAAAACATTCTTCCTTTGTTTACATATCACATTACAGAAACGTTCTGTAACAAACGTTTTGTGATCGGGGCATCGATAACATCCTGAGAACATTTTCAAAATGTTGCAGTAAGAATGTTCCTCATTTGGGCTCCTCTATAGCTCACCTGGTTGAGCGGGTGACCCATGAACAGGGGCTATAGTTCCCTGGTGCGGCGTTCGTGAGTTCGACTCCCGCTCACGACAGTTTGCTGCAAGGTCGCTCCCCATTCTTCTCCCCCCTTTTCTGTCCCACTCTCTCACTGTCCTGACTAATAAAGGCAAAAATGCCAGAAAAATTATCTTTAAAAGAATGTTCCTCCTTTGTCATCATGTAACATTGTCAGGATATATTTTTAAAATAACATAATGTAATCTGAGCCCCCTTATAACATTTTCTGAATGTTTCTTTGAGAAGGTTGTTTTCCTTTAGCATCATGAGAATGTTTAATAGAAGAACATTCTATAATCATTAACACAACATCCCCAAAATGTCCTCAGAATTCTGAAGGCAAATGTTCCGCCTTTGTTAACATGTCACATACCAGGAATGTTTTAGAAAAAAACATTGTGTAATCTGAGGCATCAATAACATCCTGAAAACATTTTCAAAATGTGGTTTTAAGAATGTTCCTTCTTCATCATCATATAACATTGTAAGAATGTTTTTAAAAATAACAATGTGATCTGAAGCTTTAATAATATTCTGAAAACATTTTCAGAATGTTTCTTGGAGAATGTCCTTCCTTTGTTATCATGTAACATTGTGGTAACGTTTAATAGAGGAACATTCTATGATCACTTATCTCAGCAACATGCCCAAAACATCTTTAGAACGTTGCACCTAAAACATTCTGTCCTTGGTAACAATACAGGAACATTATTTGAAATACTAAATGTTATTATAATATTCTTTGAACATTACATTAAAATGTTTTTTTTTTTTTTTTTTTTTTTTTAAACTTATAGCGAACCTATAGGGAATGTTAGTCAAAGTTGTGGGAACATTCGCTGCTAGCTGGGATATCACCCACTGTGTGAAGTTGTCATTTTAACTTAAGCTGTCAGGTGGATGTCGTGAAGTAGAAAGTACAATATTCCCCTCTGAATTGTAGCATCAAATGTAAATACTTAAGTAAAGTATGAATACCTAATAAATGATCCTTAGCAATATTCCTCCCCTGCTTACTGCTCTCTGCCTTTGTATTGTAGAATGCTGTCTTTACAAGCTGCTAGCTTGTGCTATAAATGCCAAATCATTTACTGTATAACAAAACAGAACGGATTGTCAGGACACCTTAAAGCCAAGCGGAATCTGTTTAGCTTGGAGTTTTTGCCAGAACTGTCGTTACCTAAAGAGCCTTGGTTTCAACACATTGCAGCAAAGCAGAGTCTCTCCGACAGCTCCTGCCCACATAAACCTGTCACTGTCAGAGCTGCTCCTCTCTAATGTTTTATTTTCAGCACCTCTTTCCCTCTCGCCTCCCCGCAGCAACGCTCAACAGTGGCCTCCATGATGCACAGACAGGAGACAGTCGAGTGCCTGAAGAAGTTCAACGCCAGAAGGAAACTCAAGGTGTGAAAATGCACCAAATGAAGTCATCCCTCTGATTCAAGAAAAAAAAGACATTTCAGAGCTCACGATTTCATTAGATGCAGTGTTTTGTTTAACCTAATCCCTAAATTTTTCAATCAACAAAAGTCCCACAAAATTTAGAAGCTGGATTCATCAAATGTTTGGCATTAATTTTGAATTAGCAGAACAGTTGCTGATTAATTTCACTTAGTAGATTAGTCTTTGTTAACATGTGCAACAAAGCTGCACGTAGAGGTTGCATTGTTTTTCCTGAAACCTTTAGATTGAGGCACAAATTGTAGTATTTTGTTAACTTTCATGGTATTTCCAAAGTCAGACTATTAAAGAGCACAAGACCAATGTTTTAAATATCTGTTAGTCTGTTAAATCCTTTTATCTCAGCATCAGTGTTCCTGTATTTGCTGGAATTTGACTTTGAAAGGCACTTAAATTATAATAATGATCATAATACTTTATTTGCATAGCACGTTTTGTGCAACACATACAGCTCAAAGTGCTTTAACATTCACAATAAAATCAAATACAAGGCGTCCATATAAACATCAAAACAGACTGTTTATACTGGACTGTTAAAAAACGACTTTTTCAAAACATTTTTTAGCTGTAATTTGTTTTGAATAATTTTCTGTTGCTTTGCAGATCTTTCAGAGATAGAAAAAACAGAGATAATAGTCTTGATGTAAATCTTAAAAAACAATTAACTGACCAAAACCATATATAATGTCTACCTCAAAAATCAGTATTGTTTGTTTTTTTTGTTTTTGTTTTTTTTACACATTTGCCATTATTTGAAGGTAAAGTTGTGTATATTAAAGATTGAAAAATAGTAAATCATTCTTTTAGCTGTTATTTTAAAGATTTCGTCTGTTTTAGATTTCTTTTACCACACTTTTTACAGTTGTACAGAATGGGTGACAACATTTTAGATAACTCGTAATGTCTGTTTGAAGCTCATTCAGACATGAGGCTGATGGCTTCAGGGTGACCACTGTCTCCTCTTTTTGCTCCTCAGGGTGCCATTTTGACCACCATGCTTGTCTCCAGGAACTTCTCTGGTGAGTGCTGCTCTTTGAAAAGACGAGTGAGTGAGGAGGACAAGATGACATGCCATCTGTCTTCTGCTAACTCTTCACACGTTCACACACATACAAACGCACAGCAGGTTGATGGGCGGCAGTGTTACAGTCAGCAGGAAATGCTGCAGGGATATACTGTACGCTTCGTTTTTCCTTCAAAGCTCACGCAGTACAGCTTATTTGACGAATAGCATACATCTGATGAATCAAAAAATATACAAGCCATATCAAAAATCTCTCCAAACAACATTTTATCATGATCAGCAGTAGTGATGGTTAATGTGGGGTCTGGGAACTGAGAACAAAGGCTTCTTAACCCTCTGAATCCTAAAACCTGCCAATGAGTTTGAAATGCATGTTATCTTTAAAACAATCACCAAAACTGCACCATTTATCAGAGCCAGGAATTGAAAAAGCTGAACGTATCATTGGATTTTCAAACATCCTTGAACTAATCACGTGTGCCATTCGATCCAGAAACCTGTCCAAATCTGAGCTTAAATGTCTCGTATAAAAATTATCAAAAATAAAAACTTTATGCTAAACAGATTCTGTAAAAAACTTACAATTCGGTACAACTGAAAAGCCATGCTGACTCGGCTGCTACCTACAGTCATGTCACAGAAATTCAGAGGCTTTTCGGCTGAACTGCAGGCAGTGTTTACACCAAGCAGAAAGAAATAAATAAATTACAAAACCCTAGCCTTACCCCTATCCATCGTTGTGCTGTTTCAGTAGAGGTGCAGGACTTTATATTGAAGTTAGGTATTAAAAAAGAAGACAAAAAATGTGATGGGAACAAAAAAAATACCCAGAAACTGCTTGGGATTCAGAGGGTTAATATATTACATAGGGCTGTAGTCAAGCCTAATTAGCCTAAATAAATTCTAAATCACTATAAAAAGTTGATATTTGTAGCTAATTAAATCATTTCAACTTTGTTTAGGCTAGTGTACACCTCTACATAGTCATATGATTTCTGAAAATAGAACTATATCAACTGGTTATCGCGGCTTAAGAACTTCTGAGGAATATAACACGGACAAGTTAGCTGCTGATTTTAAATGATATGAAGGTCATAAACTTCTGAGACTGTTTGTGGAGTGTGTGTGTATGTAGCGTGTCTTGATTCTGCACATGCAACTCGTGAAGGCAGTAGCTGTTACAGGTCAGGATGTCTTGTGAAGTCATGTTACCAGCATCTGGATGTGTGTTGCACAGTGCACTCACATGCCATGTTGGTTGTGGAAAACTAATGATAATGACATTGGTTTGAACAAATGCAGCCACACCGACGACTTCTTTGACACGGTGTCAGTCTGGAACCAACGGAGTAAACGTTAAATAGGTCAGACCTAGCACTCTCCACTGGGTTCAAACTTGTAAAAACAAATGGATGTTCATAGGTACTCTCTTCATTTCACCTCCAAATATCATGAGTTGATGATGATGGTGATGGTGATGGTGATGATGATGGTGATGATGATGATAATGATGATGATGATGATGATGATGATGATGGACATTTCTCTTTTCAAAAGTAACATCAGAGGGTGATGAAAACATATCAACCAACCAAATTAGCCAGTTGACCTGGACACTACAGACCTGACACTGCAAAATATTTATGAAACAGAAGGTGTTTATGTACTTTGACATGTCCACTTTTATTACCAATAGCTTTAAAACTGTATTTGGTAGATTTTTGTGTTCATGGATGTATTAAGGAGAACTAGATAACTGATGCCAAAGATGACACCAGTGTGGAATTCTTTGTTGTCTGAACCCAATAGTTCTTAACATACACTACACGTGCAACTCTTAGACACATCTTCTCCCAGGTGACCCAGCCAGGGTTGATCAGTAGCTCGTGTTGTCCACGGATCACAGCCATCTTGACGCCTTTTCAGCTGCGTCTGTGATGTTCCTGGTGGCCTTCCTGGTGTGCAGTCCCTTTACCCCGAGCATCTAGAATAGAATAGAATAGAATAGAACTCTATTAATCCCTTTGGTGGAAACCTCAGGGAAATTGCTGATTGAGATGAAATCTTGAAAAGATGAAATCTTGAGGGCCCTGATGAGGGACTGGCCAGCAAATCCTCTGCACCCCACCTCAATGAGGTTGCACCGGGTCCTCCAGCCCTTGTTACGACATTTGCCTGCCAGCTCCTCATACTTGGCCCTCTTCTTCTTGAAGGCCTCCTCCATTCGGTCTTCCCAAGGAACAGTCAATTCCAGCAGGACCACTTGCCTTGATGTTTCAGACACCAGGATGATGTCTGGCCTGAGTGTGGTCACTGCAATGTATTCTGGGAATTTGAGCTGTCTCCCTAGGTCGACCTTCATCTGCCAGTCCCATGCTGTTGCGAGCAGCCCCCTGGGTTGGTTCATGCGCTGGTACAGCTTCTCCCTGGCTTTTACAAAGGCGATGTTCTGCCTTGCTGGTTGCTGGTGTCTGCTGTGATCCCTGTGCTGATGACCTCAGCGATGACCTTCAAAACTTGGTCATGGTGCCCACATCTGCATGGAATTCCTTCAAACAGAGGACATTGAAGTTCTGGACTGGCCTGCATATTCGCCAGACATGTTCTGTTGGAGCTGAATCTCAATCTACCAGAAATTAAATTATGTGTGAGATAGCTCCTACGCATTCGTTTAATGAAGCAATAGGAGAAGATATTTAGGTCTCACTCAATTTATTTATTTATCAGATAGTTGAATAAGCATACAGAGCTCTGGATCAAACTTCTCACCCTAGCGCCAACAAAGTTAATGTCAGGGCATGAAGTCTGACTGACTGCCTCTCCCTGATCCAGTGTACTTATACTATTACATGAGAATGTGCACAGAATGTGTTGCAGCTAGTTGACTGGCCCCTCCGTGTCCTTGAGCCTTCTTCCACCATCTCGTAGGTGCAGAAACTTGTCACTCTGCACCCTCAGTTTCTCCCTCCTGCAGATACCTGCTTGTGACAGAGAAATACACAAACCACCAAATCCTTTCTCCACTTACACTTTCTCATGCTGCAATGGTTTATCAATTGTGTTGATTATGCGTTTAGATAATAATGTGAGATTAAGATAATAAGAAAAGTGAGGAGAGTAACACCAAATTATCAAAATATGAAATAAGGTGAGATTAATATAATGAGAGATTATCAAAACATTAATATAAAATATATGATCCCAACAGTTCCCAATAGAGCATCTTTGGGATGTTCTGGATAGGCGTGTCCGGGACTGTGTTCCAGTTCCAGGCAATGTGGGTCAGCTCCGTGTGGCACTCCAGGAGGAATGGAATAACATTCCACGGGCCACCATAGACAATCTGATCAACTCCATGCGAAGAAGATGTGTTGCTCTGAGAGACGCAGCTGGCGGACACACAAGATGCTGAAAAATCAAATTCCTCAACCTGACCCCTAACATGTTCAAAGGACTGTCAATCCGCTACAAATGGCCATACCACCATGTTATCAATGCGGATATGAAGATCAGTAATTACTGAAAATATATTTTGAGTTTCTCTATATATTGCGTAACCCAAATGTTCATAAAACTCTTATATTTGACATGGGGTGTTTATATTTTTGTTCAGTGTATTTCGTGCAGTATGACACAGAATGACCTGTACATAATTTTAGTTGGTAGCTCTACATACTATAGATATTTAACCGTTTACACTTTTACAGCCTCTATAAACTCAGTGTTTGTCACACTACTTTCAACTCTAGAAAGATGAATGTGTCTTCCACCAACTTGCTCCTCTGTTCACTGTTTCTGAGCCATGCTGCATTTATTTTATTGATCCAGTAGGTTTTATTTTCCTCTCAGTTTCTCTTGTTGTCTCCTCTCTGCCTGCAGTTCAGCTGAAATTAAAATTAGTCAACCAATGCAATCACAAAATCTTTTTTCAGCACCAAAACTAAAGACAGAGCAGCTCAACACGTTCAAATGCCCCGTCATCTAAAAACACACTTACTTATAGAAACTGAGGCCTAATTTGTGTTTAACAACCTCTCCAAGTTGTGTGTTTTTCATATTACTATCATCATCACTGCACAACAACTCTACAGAGATGTTCCACTTTGCTGAAGGAATCTACAAATAACTGGATGGCAACTTGCTTCTCTGTATATATACCATTTTGAACCATTTTGCATCTCTTTTATTTTTCAAATTAGTTTTTTTAATATTGTGACTTTATGCTTGGATTTGACGAAAGGGTAGTTCAAGGACCGTCAGAAAGCTCAAAACTGAACGATTCAAAAATGGCTTGATTTTGCAGACTTTTTAAAAGAAAGCATGCCTTTCTGCTTTAGGGCTCAGAGGGTTAAAAGCCACACTATCCAACTATCTCTCTCCGCCTTCCTTTGTGTTTTTCAGTGGGTCGACAGACTACAGCTCCTGCTTCCGTCAGCAATGTGCCAGGATCCACCGCTGGCATCGTCGAACAAGGTATACTCTTCACAGCAGATTTTTTTTCTTATTTTTGAAATACACAAAAATATAATTGAGATTACAAAAGCAAACATAATTTACATGTTGAATGTAAAATAACACCTGAAAAACTTTGAATAACCAAACATTATTTATTATTAATGAATTTATTTTATTTTTCATACAAATACATTCACAAATATCTCCTTTTTATGTAATAGATTAAACTGTTTATTACAAGTTTAACGCTAAATATATTTCTATGATTAAATACAATTAGTGATAACAGAAAATTTTGATTAATATATGTTGTGGGTAATTTCATTGTTTTTGTACATGTAAATTTCCGTCATTACACATTACAAGCTTATAATACATATAATCTCATAAAACTAAGGCTACAAATGTATTTTCAAAATGATAATTTCATAATCATGTGTTTTAATTGTGTAAAATGACTGTATTTTAATGAAGTGGTTATTTTCTGGCACCCTGGTTACTGAAATATTACTTCTACGGTGTCTGTTAAGACTTTACATGCTGTGCTCTAAGTGAAACAGTGGCAGACATGATTCCACAGAAATCTCTCAGAGTCACATCACACTCTCTGCTTGTTTTAATCTCTCTTTCTAAATCTTTCTCTCCCGTTGCCCCCACCCCTCCCCGGCCTTAATGCTTCTCAAATGTTTGCCAAGGTAAGCAGCCTCTTCTGCTATCTGGGAGGGGGAGAGTATTACTGTTCACATATCTTCGCCTGTCACGGTTCAGGCTTCTGTCACCTCTCTGGCTTACAGTTTGGTGTGTAAGGAGTAGCTTAGATGTCAGATTTTAAACAAGAAAAACAACCATTGTACGGCGTAGCTTTCAAGTTGGAGATTGCACACCCACTCAGAGCTTCAGCATTAGTGTGATGAGGGATTAATGTCAGTGCAACTGTTGCTTTATGTGCTCTTTTCATCACCATAAACAGCATTTAAGCATTAAAACAAATAGATTCTACCATCTGGATATTTGCGCTCATGTCATTGAGCTGCCTGGTGTTGAGATCATTTGAGCCAAAATTATTCTATTATGCACAAGTTATATAATTCATGAAGGATATTTGGATTACCTTGTGCAGACTGGATATGGATCTCCTGTGCACAAGATAAAAGAATTAAAACTTGGTTCTGCTTATGTAATATTACATTGATTGTAAATGTGTGATGCAAAGAAAAACAACTGTTGTGTAGCACAGCTTTCAAGTTGGGGCAACCCTAGTTGTATAAGTAATGTCGGCAGGACTGTTGCTTTTTGTGCTCCTTTAACACCATGAACAGTGTTTAACCCTCCTAAACCCAAGCAGTTTCTGTTTTTGTGCCCCTGTCGTCTTTTTCCTCACTGTGGACTCATTTTTCACTGTAACATAATTTCCTGCACTTCTATGGAAACAACACAACCATGATGACAAGTAAAGAGAACTGGAATCAGTCACGAACAAATATTTTCCAAGTTTTCAAAGGTGTTACCAAAACTTGAAAAAAATGTTGCATCTACACGCTATCGATAATTTACTGCCTACAATTTTAATTTATTTCCGTGCTGCTCTCTAATTTGCTTTGCGAAAACAAAGCCTGCAGTTCAGCCGAATAGCCTGTGTTTTTTTTTTTTCATATATGCTGATCGAAGTTGAATCACCGATGGCTTTAAGGTTGCACCAAGGAGGGCAGTATGTAAAGTTTTTCTTTTTTTTTTAACAGATTTTAATTGAAATTTTCCAAGTTTAAGCAGAGTTGTTTTCTAATAGAACTGTAAATTACAGATGATGTGCTCAAATTGAAACTACTTACTGTTTCTGACTCTGATGCACCGTATAATATCGGTGATTTTTTTTTAAAGGTACCATTAGTTTGAATCCCTCTGGCAGGTTTCGGAGATCAGAGGGTTAACACACATACGTTACAGCTTCTGGATTTTTGCCCCCTTGTCCTGCTTCACTAATTCCAATGAACTCTGTGAATTAATCCTGATTCAAACCCATTATCACGTACCTGCATCTCCATTCCCATTCCCTCATGCTTTTACTCCTAATCCCCTGTCTATCTGTGCTGCCTGCCTGTGCGTGCATCTGTGTGAGTGTATTTGGATTATATGGAGAATTAGTTTGACTTTTTTTTCCCCCCCGCCTCATGTCTGATGCCCTCTGCTTATCTAATGCTTTGGGCAATGGATCAGGGTTAGGAGGTGCCAGTTGGATGGAGGTTTTTTTTAATATGTGTGCCAGTCAGTGTGTGTTTTTTCATCTAGTTTTTAATGTCTTTGACGAGGAGAGGGTGTTTTTTTCTTTTTTTTCTTTTTAAGAGGGAGGGATGAATTCCCTGCTTCTTCCTGCCCTTGACGGTGGTGAAATGTGGAGAGTTTGAGCTTTGTCACTCTGGTTTTTTTTTTTTGCATCTGTGATATTTTTGACTTGTGACTTTTTTTGAGCCTGCGCCTGCATGCACGCATGACTGACCGAGTGTCTACAGTGGTTTGTGTGAGCAGATTTAAAGAGCTGTGGTCATCTGAAGGTGTATGATGTGTACTCTTCCATCTGAGGGTGTGTCGTTCTGCCTCTCTGCAGCAGCCAAGAGTCTCCTCAACAAGAAGGCTGATGTCAAGGTAAGCTAGCTCGTCCCTTCCTTTATATCCTCGGCTGCCCTTTCCACTGCTCTGCTATTTTTATTAATCCATGAATATTTTGATCAAAAGCAGACATTCGGACTAATTTGACTTTGTAGCGTTCACTTTGAAGATGTGTTTTCAGCCTTAAAGGCACAGCTTAACCACATTATGTGTGTGTTATTTCCTGCACTGCACTTGTCTGTTATTCACTCATGTTTTAGCTCAGAGATGCCACGATACTCCTGTCTGTAGTTTTATTGTGTCACCTAATTCGCATTAAATTATCTCCTGTTATTTATGGTTCCAAAATTATAGCCACTACAGTAGTAATATTGCAGACAACAAACAAATAAATAAACTTTTATCCTATCTTTTATCACTCAGTAAATGCTCATTGTTGTTGTTGTCGTGAGAAATCCCATCATCCTATTGGGCAATCTTTTTCCATATATTTGGAATGCACAAACATTTTTACATTTTTACTTATAAATATCCTTCATTAAAACACTACAGTCTAAAAACACGCACATTATTTCATGCAAATTTAAGGCTAGAAAATTGATTTTAAATGTATTTGTAATATGGAAAATTACTATATTTTTATGAGGTCAGTACTTTTATCAGTAATTTTTCTAACAGGTTTTAAAGTTTTTTTTCCATATGCTTGAAATAGACAATTTAATAAAATTAAAAAACTTAACTACATTGCATGTCAAATTAAAAAAATTAAAACCTGTAACTTTGAATAACCACAAAAAGAAAAACTTTTTTTTATATATAAAAGACAATTACATTTTCAAATGTAATACATTTTCAAAAATATTTCCTTCTAATTTAATAGATGAAACTGTTTAATGCATTTTAATATTTTAAATATATTTCCAGAATTAAATGCAATTAGTGACAACAGAAAGTATTGATTGTATAATTTAGATGTGTTTGTTATATATTATTTATAATTTCATTGTTTGTACACAGGTAAATTAGATATATAAATTAACTTTCTAAACAGTATAATAGATAGTTATGTTATAGATATATATCACATAGTAAATGTCTGTTGTTGTAGTCATGAGAAATTCTGACACAGTTAGGCTCCGTGAATTATTTACTTGATGAATCAACTAATTGTTTGATCCATTAAATGCTCAAATGTCTTCTTTTGTTAAATATACATTCCAAATCCCAGGTAAATAAATAGATAACATGGCTTGGAAGCTGGAATCTGAGATTTGCTAGTTAATTAATCAACAATGCTAGTTGATTAATAAAATTGATGCCGTACTGATATACAAATAAAAACACACTTGGCAGCACTGTTGCTTGAACCTAACTTTAAAGTCAAGTCAAGTTGTTCCCCGGTTTGCTTGACTGATATCTTGGCTACAACCAGTTTTGTCTGTAACTGAGGGACTGTTTGACCTCGGCTCTGCTCTTGGACGCCTCCGTTTGGCTCAGCTGGCACTTTGTACCACTCCACCGCAGACATTTTCCACCCCAAATATTTTCTGGTGCCAAAACGAAGCTCATTAAAGAATTGGTCTGCGCACTGTCTCATTCTCTGAAGAGCAGAGACGCTGACTCTGCAGTAAGTCAGACTGTGACGTTATCGGTGCACCTCTGGTAGCTCCTCGCCTGTCCCACCAGTTTGTTGCATTCTGTCAGGTTCTACATGTGTTTGTGTCTTGTGTACACACTGCTACAAATGCATGTGTGTTTGTGTTTAAGTGGTTTCATGCATGTTGTTGTTTGCATGGGTCAACTTTTAGGCCTTTGGGTGAGCAGTTCAGTGTAGCTGGTCAAAGGTGTCTCACAACCAGAAGAGTGGGTAAAGCCTTTATCAGAGAGCTGCCAAGTTGTTGGACTCAAGTTGTGAAAGATAATATTTGTTTGTATCTTGCGCCATATAAGATACGATATTAAATGCAAACACAAGTTACTTTGCATGTCTGAACAGCTTACATATTTGTACAGTTAATATATACGTTGGACACGAGAATGTGTAAGACATGCATCTTATGTGCACAATCTAAAATACTTTTTTGTGCAGGCAAAAAAAGTACTCTGTGCACGATATATGGGTCTTGGTCACACAAAATGATAACCTGATACGGATTTATTTCCACATTACATTTTGTCTGCACAAGATATCCATTTCGTTTAAACAAGATAACATCATATGTAAGAGATGATTTTGGGACAATTACATACTGAAATGAAAACCTGTGTGCAAAACATGGAAATCTTGGTCATGTTTATGTCTATAACAAAATGATCTAGTTTGTGTTTGTTAAGTCTTGTTTATACAACAGTGTAAATATATATATACATATGAATGTATCCATGTTTCCTACCAAAAATACAATCTTTGCTCGACATTTCACCAACTTTTGAGGCCTCTAACAGCAGTAGATTTTGATGAGTCGAAGTATTAGCCAAGGTTCCAGTTCTTTGCTGTGGACTCATTGGTAGGACACAAAAACCTGGTGTACTTAGAGGTCTAATTATTATCATTATATTCAAGAGTTGCCAACTGTGAAAATATGGACCTACCCATATAGCTATGTTCTTATCTATGCTGACAGGAACTTTCTGGGGCCCCAATTACACCGTCCTTAGAACTGAAGATGTGGCTCTTTCCTTTTTGCATTGAAATGACCAGTAATTTAAAAAATCTGGCCTCTGCTGGAGCCATTTAATCATTTGGATCTGCATGAAATACATATGGTTGTCTTCACCAAATTTCCTGACTGTGGGTGTTATTTTTCTGGTGATATTAAACATTGAAATGGCCTCCCAGCTAAGGATTACATTAGATCCTCATCCACAAGATAATGTGTGCACATGAGACTTGGATCTTGTTTAATCAGTATAATAACCTGTGTGCACAAATTATGGATCTTTATACACTCAAGATAATAGTCTAGTCAGTAAGATTTCGATCTTATCTAAATATGATGCAAATTTCTCTGCACAATAACTGGACTTTATTCAAGAAACATATTTTGCGAGTTAAACATATGGATCTTGTTTGCACACAGTAAAGTTTTGTGTTTATAACTTATGAGTGTGCTTTATACAAGACAATAGGAAGCAAGCACAATGAAGACCTCTGTCAATGCAAGATATCTTGTGTGCAGTAAATACAGATGTTGCTTAAGTACATAAAATACTCTCTAATCTAAAATCATCTATAGAATCGTTCAGAAAACAATTTGTGGACAAAATAGCTCTTATTCTTGCAAGATAATGAAAATGCACACAAGACATGGATCATTATTTCTACACACAAGACACAGAACTTGTTTACATGAGCTAGCTTGTGCATGCACAATAAAACAATTAATTTTTTAGGACTTTGAGAGCTCTGTACCTTTTTCTGTCGTGCGAAATAGTTTTATCAGTGAGTCAGTAACAGCTGCCTCTCTTCTCCTGACCTGTTTCTATGTGACACTCTTTATTTAACCTGCATCTCCTCCCCTCCTCCTCCTTCAGCCTCTCCTCCTCCTCTGCACACTAACCCTCCCCTCTATCCTCGGGTGGCCCAATGCTAATCTCAGATTATTTCCCACCAGATGATTAATCTATCATTGCATAACAGCAGCCTCTCCTTTGCTGACCCTGATGTCACATTAATGCACACAGCCCTGAGGCTGGTTCAGTTTCCCTGCATGAGCCCGGCACCCCTTCTCCTCTGTGTCATCTCATTTTACAGTAATTTCCTGGGAATATGCTGGGGTTTTCTTTTTCTTTTTTTTTTAAATTAACTTTCCAAACAGGTGCAATAGCTGAGGGCAATCAGAGAGAGTTGTTATGTAATAGTTATGTTTTATTGTTCTTAGAGGGAAGTCACAGTTACAACTGAGGACAAGAAATAGACTGTTTTCTTTTAACCAAACTAACTTGAGATTTACACCCAAACTAACACCTCACAGTGTTATATTTCCTCACACTAAGGAACAAAACTGAGTATGTGCACACAGTGAACTGTTTATTACGTGCTGGTTAAAAGAGTAGGGCCTTCACTAACCATTATTTTTCATTGAGTAATCAATTAACGATTTTACCAATTAGTCAAATAATCTAAACAAATTATTGTCTCCAGTAAAATTGACGGTGAAATGACCATTTCTTTTTAGTTAAAGTGCAAAACTGTAGAATTAAACTGGAAACTACAACACAAAAAATTAAAGAGAGGGCTTATTATTTTTGACAATAGAACAACTCCAACTTTTTATTGAACCTTTTAACAAAGTGGAAAGTATGTATATTGAACAAAAAAACATGCAACATTGGGGAGGTGGATATTTTACAACACTGAGGAGCTAAAACACCATCTTTTTGTCTTATTGTGTAATTGTTCTTTTGCTTTTCCAGCAGCTAAAATTTCTATGAAAATATCCAAATTAACTCAGTTTAATTGATGTGGTTGATAGGTTTTTTTTTTGGTGAAGTTGCAGCTTTAAAATCAGTATTTTGGCACTTCAGTAGTTTGATTGAGCCAAATTTTAGTCACTATTTCATACTTGTTTCATTGGCTTAAATCAAAAACAAGTAGCCTCATGAGAAATTGGGCTGCAATAAAATACAGTATTTGTGAGCACAGACAGGAGGAGAGAAGTAAACAGATGTACTGTGAAGCTCATGTATACAGCTTGTGGTTCTGCTGCTACCACTGAAACTCTGCACAGTGTCAAGAGCACCTTTTTGTTATGTGATCATTTAAAGTTTTCCCACTTTTTCAGAGGCTTGAGTCTTTGGAAACTATTAAACTAAACTCCGCCACTGCTGTCACTTTTTTAAACTGTATTGTGATACTGTAGAAAAGCATTTGTCACAATAAACTGAAGCCTTTTAGATAAAAAAACAACAACAAACAAAACACAAACAAACTTGCATCGTTAAATCATATTGACGTATTTTCAGTGTCATCTATACATCAAAACATCTATCCAACTACGTTAAAACTTAACTTTGGTTGTATATAACTGTTTTTT